TATACCAATTTTCACGTGGCTCAGATAGTAATCCAGAGATTATTAAATAAAAACTGAAAGAACTGCGGTTGCTGTAAATCAGAAACAAAATCAGAAATTGCTGGAAAGCCTCAGCAGGTCCGGCAGCATCTGTGGAGAGAAATCAGAGTTAGCGTTTTGGGTCAAGTGACCCTTCCTCAGAACTGATGGTAGCTAGGAAGATGTCTGCTTATATGTAGGAGGTAGGGTGGAGGGATGGGGTGAGGAGTAAATGACACGTGAGAATAGAGCCCAAAGGGAGAGGAGATTATTTGGACAGACAAAGGAGTGGATAATGATCTGGCTAGGAGGGTGAATAGCTATTAATGGAGACTGTCAGTGGTTAACAATGGGTTCTGTGTAATAGCAGACTATCAGATAACAAGGCCTGATGTGTGTGGATTGGGGTAAAGACATGAGAGAGCTCAAGCCCTAAAATCATTGAACTCGATATTGAGTCCAGAAGGCTGCAGGGTCCCCAAACGGAAAATGAGGTGCTGTTTTTCCAGCTTGCACGGAGCTTTGCTGGAGGACGACAGCAAACCTGAGACAGAGATGTTGGTCAGAGAACAGGGTGGTGTGTTAAAGTGGCAGGCAACTGGAAGTTCAGGGTCTTTTTTGCAGATGGAACGTATGTGTTCTGCGACGCAGTCACCCAGTCTATGCTTCGTTTCCCCAATGTAGTGGAGACCAGGTAAAGGGCTGCTTCACCTTGAAGGTGTGCATGGATACTGAGGAGGGAGGAAGTAAACAAACAGGTGTTACACCTTCTGCTGTTGCAGAGGAAGGTGATGTGAGGCTGTGAGGGGATGTTGGGAGTGAAGGGAGAGTGGACCAGGGTGTCCTGGAGGGAACGGTGATAGGAATGTGAGAATGGCAGAACAATGGTGTGTTTAACTGCCAGACAGGAAAGAACAGATAGTTCCACTGGAGTTGGGGAGAGGGATGAAGGGGGAGAGGGAGAGGACATGGTGGTAGAGAATACAACTAGTAAAGCGAAAGAAAGGGAAGGAATGGGAGTTGGTTCACAATCTGAATGTGCTAAACTCAATATTAAGTCCAGAAGGTTGTAAAGTGCTTTCAAGCAGCATTTGCTTAGCAGCAATAATCTTCAGCAATATTAGATTTGGGTTTTGCTAGGGCCACTCAGGTCCTAACCTCATTACAGCCTTCGTTCATGCATGGAAAAAAGAACCAAACTCCACAGGTGAGGTGAGCAATACTGTCCTTGACAACCAAGTATTGCATGTTGGAACCCTGGCAAAACTAGAGTAATTGAGAATCAGGGAAAAGCATGAGATGGTTATGGTTGTTAGATGCCAGTTTTTTCAGCCTGAGGATATCACTGCACAACACTGGAATATCTAGGTTTGGCTGACAAATGGCAAGTGACATTCGTGCCAGACGTGTACTGGGCAATGACCATTTCTAATAACAGATAACCTAACCTTGACATGCAATTGCGTTACTATTGCTGAATCTCCCACTATCAACATTCTGAATATTACCTTTGACCAAAAACTGAAGTGGACTAGCCGTAAAAACAGTGTGGCTATAAGAACAGGTCAGAGGTGAGGAATTCTGCAGCAAATAACCTCCTGACTTCTCAAAGCCTGTCCACCATTTACAAAGCACAAGTCAGGAATGTGATGGAATATTCCCCACTTGCCTGGACGAGTACATTTCCAACAACATTCAAGAAGCTTGACTCCATTCAGCACAAAGTAGCCCACTTGATTAGCATTCCATCCACCAACTTTACTTGGTCTGCCACCGATGCACTTTGTATGATGGGTCTCTAGCACCCATACTAGTCTTAGCCTCCTCTAGGCATTACCTCCCAATTGTCCAAAACCTACACTTTATGTTGCATAAAATCCATAAGGTATGGAAGGTTTGATTTATAAAGGAAGGCTGGATCGGCTGGGACTTTTTTCATTGGCGCGTAGGAGGTTGAGAGGTGGCCTGACAGAAGTTTATAAAATAATGAGAGGTATAGATAGAGTTAATGGTGGTTTAATTAATGGTGTCTTTTCCTTAGGATGGAGGATTTCAAGACTAGGGGGCACATTTTTAAGGTGAGATGAGTGGAATTTTAAAAAAGACATGCGAGGCAAATTTTTTACACAGAGGGTGGTTTGCGTGTGGAATGAACTTCCTGAGGAAGTGGTGGATGTGGGTATAATTACAATGTTTAAAAGATATTTGGATAGATACCTGAATAGGAAAGGTATGGAGGGATATAGGCCAGGAGCAGGAAGGTGGGACTAGTTTAGTTTGGGATTATGTTCGGCATGGACTGGTTGGACCAAAGGGTCTATTTCCGTGCTGTATGACTATGACTCTATTATCACCATCACAGAGGAACACAGACATTGCATTAGCCAACAGGTTGAACTTAAAATCTTCATCCTTGTTTTCAAATCCATGCTTGTCCTTCCTTCAGTCTGCTTTTACAACTTCTTCGAAATTATTTCTCTAGAAATACCACCAGTATCCTCTGACTGACTTCCTGTTTGCTTTCTCTTCCTGCAGTTCATCCTCACTGCAGTATTTCTGTTGGAATTCCAACACTACAAGTGAGATTTTAGCTCACTCAAAAGCCAAGCACTTACATATTGAGCTCATACGTATCTTCCTTGCTATGTCCCGTCCTAATTTCAGAAACCTTCACGAGGCCCTTTTCCCAACATAGTTGATAGGTTACTTCACAAAGCTTTAATCTACATTTTTTTCGACAGGGCACACCTGGACAATTTTTCACATTTTTGGACAGATGCCAGTGTAGTAACTGTACTTGAATAGCTTGGCTAGGGCTGCAGCTACTTCTGGAGCATTTGTCTTCAGAACTATTGCTGGAACATTGTCAGTGCCAGTCATCTTTGCAGCATCCAGTAACTTCAATCAATTATTGACATCATGTAGAGTGAGTTGAATTGGCTGAAGACTGGTATTTGTAATGCTAGAGACCTCAGGAGGAGGACAAGATAGATCCCCCATTCAGCAGAGATAGTAAGAACTGCCAATGCTGGAGTTTGAGATAACACAGTGTGGAGCTGGAGGAACACAGCAGACCAGGCACCATCAGAGGAGCAGGAAAGCTGATGTTTCAGGTCGGGACCCTTCGGAAATGAGGGAGGAGGACTGGGCTCTGAAATAAATAGAGAGGGTGGCGCGGTGATAGCAGGTAGATAGTGGAGCGGATAGGTGGGAGAGAAGACAGACAGGTCAAGGAAGCGGGAATGAAGTTAGTAAAGGTGAGTATAGGTAGGCAGTGGTGGAGATTGGTCAGTGAGGTGGGAGGAGTGGATAGGTGGGAGAGAAGACGGACAGGTCAATGAGGGGGGAGATGAGAGGGGTTTCTGGTCCTAGGATGAGGTGGGGGGTAGGGAGATTTTGAAGCTAGTAAAGTCCACATTGAGTTGTAGACTTCCAAGGCGGAATATGAGGTGCTGTTGCTCCAGTTGCCAGGTGGCATCGTTGTGACACTGGAGGAGGCCCAGGATGGACATGTCGTCCAGGGAGTGGGAGGGGAAGTTGAAGTGGTTTGCGACTAGAAGGTGTTGTCGTTTGTCACAAACCAAGCGCAGGTGCTCTACAAAGCGGTCTCCGAGTCTCCGCTTGGTCTCACCGATGTAGAGGAGACCACTTCGGGAACAGCGGATACAATATACCACATTAGCGGATGTGCAGGTGAACATCTGTTTGATGTGGAAGGGTTTTTTTTGGGGCCTGGGATGGGGGTGAGGGGGGAGGTGTAGGGGCAGGTGTAGCACCTCCTGCGGTTGCAGGGAAAGGTGCCAGGGGTGGTGGGGCTAATGGGGAGTGTGGAGCGGACGGGGGAGTCGCGGAGAGAGCGGTCCCTCTGGAAGGCAGATAAGGGTGGGGAAGGAAATATATCCTTGGTAGTGGGGTCAGATTGCAGGTGGCAGAAGTGGCGGAAAATGATGCGTTGAATCCGGAGGTTAATGGGGTGATTCGCGAGGACAAGGGGAATTCTGTCTTTGTTTTTATTGCGGGTAGGGGGTGTGAGGGCTGAGGTGTGGGAAACGTGAGAGATGCGTTTGAGGACGTTTTTCGCCACTGCGGGGGGATGTTGTGCTCCTTGAAATACGAGGACATCTGGGATGTTCGGGAGTGGAATGCCTCATTTTGGGGGCAGAGGTGGAGGAACTGTGAGTAGGGATCGCATTTTTGCAGGAAACTGGGTGAGAGGAGGTGTAGTCCAGGTAGCTGTGGGAGTCGGTGGGCTTGAAATAGATATCAGTTTCAATATCACGCATTCGGCATTTCTGGCTGAAGCTTGTTGAAATGTTCCAGTCTTGTCTTTTACATTGATGTGCTGGGCTCCCCCATCACTGAGGATAGGAATATTTGTGCAGCTTCCTCCTCCTCTTTGTTGTTTAATTGTTTGCTGTTTATCCATTATTCATTGTTTAATGTAAGTAGTCCTGTGCTGGAGCTTCACCAGGTTGACACCTTATATTTTGGCACGCTCGATAGTGCACCTGGCATGCCCTCCTGCATTCTCCATTGAATCAGGGTTGATGCCTTAGTTTGGTGCTAATGGTAGAGTGGGGGATATACTGGTTCCTGAGGTTGCAGATTGCACTTCAGTACAATACTGCTGTTGTCCTTCTGCTAATGTCCACAGCACCTCATGGATGCCTAACCTAGAGTTGCTAGATCATTCAAAGTGATGCCAAACTAGCGGAGCTGCTGGAACCTGGGACAAAAGTGTCAGTGGCTCCTCTTGTTGTACCAGAGAAGCGAAGAATATTCTACCTTTCCCTGCTGTATTAACTGATTGTAGTATGTTGGCAAAATTCAGATATGGCTTGATATCTCAGGACTTGACTGATGAGCTTGCTGCGTATGCCCCCTACTGTTGGGAGCTGTTACTGCACAAGCTCCATCAGTCATACTTTCTGAAATAAATAGGCTCTCCAAATAATGTTATTTTACCTTTCTACTTCCCATAGTACACTACCAGAAGATCATTCATCGAGATATCAAACCTTCAAATCTGCTCCTGGGAGATGATGGCCATATTAAAATTGCTGACTTTGGAGTAAGCAACCAGTTTGAGGGGAACGATGCCTTGCTGTCCAGTACAGCCGGGACTCCAGCATTCATGGCACCAGAGACTCTCTCTGAGACCAGGAAGAGCTTTCATGGGAAGGTAGGGAATCAATGGCCTGTATTTCATTATTCCACCACTGACCAAAAGAAAGTTTTTGAATCAAAAGATCTGCAGTCATATCTATCACCATCAGCACTTCACTCAATGACCAACATTGTCTCCATGACTTGCACCATTTAAATTTTAATATTCAGATGCATCTGTTCAAAATCTCAGTATAGCCTCAATCTTATTTTTCTGTATAACCCTTTTCAGCCTAGACCCTTCCAGGAAAACTGTCTTCCTCCAGCTAATGCTCCTTGTGCCTTTTCAACTTTGTTTGGCAACCCCTTTCCCTTCAACTTTTGCCCAGTGGCAATCATGTCTCCAGCTACCTGAACCCTAAACTCTGGAATTTCCTCCACAGATTCTCCCCCTCACTTACCTCTTCCTCCTTAAGAAACCTCTTAAAATATCTTAGTGTTTTAACTTTTTGTCATCTGTCCTAATATTTATTTGGTTCCCTCCCTTGAAAATGCTATCCTTTAATTCATTTACAACTACGCACTCAAAATCCTAACTATCAATCCTTTCAGAATCTGTTAGCACAATAATTCCACATTCATTAATTTACTCAACTGCAGTGTCACCTTTGGCTTTGACATTCTGTCAAATCATAGAATTGTAGAATCTCTACAGTGAGGAAAGAGGCCATTCAGCCTAATGAGTCTGCTCCAACCCTCCAAAGACCATTCCACCCAAACCCAGCTCGCTACCATATCCCTGTAACCCCGCATTTACCATGGCTAGACCACCTAACCTGCACATCTTTGAACTGTGGGAAGAAACTGGAACGCACAGTAGAAACTCACGCTGACACGGGGAGAACTCTGCACAGTCATCAAAGTTCCATTGAACCTGAGTACCTGGTGCTGTGAGGCAGAAGTGTTAACCGCTGAGCCACCATGCCATCCAAATAGAACCATTCAAGTATCTACCTCTGCCAGGTCCCTTGTTTTTGCTAGTCTACCTGGCGAAACCTCCTCTAATGCTTCCTTGTTTTCAAGCCTGATCTTGCATCTAGCTTCTCTCCTATCTCCCTCAGACTGTCACCAAGCTTATCTTGTCTATGAAACCCATGTTGTGTTCCCTTGATCGTGTTCCCCCTAAACTGATCACCCAACTCCACTTTCCGGCCCCCATCTTAGCTGATATTCTCGGCTGCTTTCTCTCTTCAGCTGTTGTCCCACTGTCCCTTAAAGTTGCTCTTATCATCTCTCCATTCAGAAAGCAACCCTTGGTTGCTCTGTTCTTGAATACTAGGCTCTCTCTCCAGTTTCTCCTTGAACATGTTGCCTTCCAAACCCATTCCTATCTTTTCCAGAACTTCGTGTTGACTCTCTCCAGATATGTTTCTGCCCTGCCACAGTAACAAAATGTCTCCAGTCAGAAGTCCCGGATGACATCCTGGGTGACAGCGACTGTGGCGAATGTTCCCTCCTCGTCCTTCTCGAACTGATTTACAGCTTTTGACAGGGTCGATCTTATTATCCTCCTCCAATACCTTGCCACTGCCATTCAGCTGGGTGGGACTGTATTATCCTCTATCCATTCTTAACTAACTAATCACATCAGAATCTAGGCCGGATATTCGCTGCTGAGTTGGATTTGTGGGAGTTGGGAATTTTTCCGACCCTGGAGAAAGGTTGGATTTTCATTCCGGGAGATGTGAGTGCTAACTGGATGTGGGCAGAAACAGACAGGAGGCAGCCAGAGGGGTTTCTAGGTGCTGAATCAAGCTGGTTAAAAGACCCGCCTTGGTGTTCTGGGACTTCCAACTCCTGCCTCCTCATGCCCCTCCACCCACACCCCAATGGCCCTTCTACAGACTACATGACACATCACACTTTCTATGCCACCCCTGCCCCAAAGCTGACCCCATGGCTGTATACCTTCCATGTCAATTTAGTGCCAATCCCTGATCCCGCCCACTACCTTTTGCCCATTACCTTCCATGCCAACTCACCCAGTATCTACATGAGCAGATCTTAGGAACCATGGTGAGACAAAATGATATAAAGTTCTAAGTACATACTGCAGACTTCTCTATTATTGAAAAAATGCCTTCATGACACAGCCCATAAAACAGATTTAAATCCCTTCAATTCATAAATCCCTGATAAAATCAAAAGTTTTCTTTTGCATACTTAATCCTGTATAAAAACAAATAATTGTATTCATTACACCACATTGAAGACAGCTAATTCCTCAGTAACCTCTCTCAGCTGTCAAATTGTGAATTTACAAGCCCTCTATTATGGTAAAGGTAGGTTGTGAAAGCCATCAAGCAACACTAATCCTATAATGATAACCCTCAGGCTTTTTTCAGCAAGTATGTTTCTTTAGCTGCAGGATGACTGTTTCATTTTCAAAATTTAAAAGACAGAGTACTTACCTAAATTGACATTCCAAAGACTGACTTTATTCACTTCTTATGCACATTCACGTTTACTCTGAATAACCTTAAAGGACACCTGACCTCTCAGAAAATGGTGTATTACTTCTCTAAGAGGGTAGCTGATCTTTCCCAAAGCAGATTCATAACATTCTGTGACTCTTGCAGTGTGGATCTTGCAGCTGCTCCTGGGATTGCGGGGTTATTTAAAGATTTACTATAGTTTTTTTTTACAGTTATTACAGTCATATATTTTACTGATATAAGATTTTTATTTATTTTGTTTCATTAACATTCAAAACAAGCAAAAAAAATTTCAAAAACAATTTTTTTCAAACGGGGTTTTATTAAACAATCTTTTAAGATTGAATAGTGAACAGCTGAGTTTCTTTTTATTCTAAGTTCAGAAGTTTAAAAAGTCTGTGATTTAGAGGGTTGTTTTTAACATTGCAAAGGGTTTTTTTGAAAAACTGAACTTTTTTTTTACATAAGGAGTTGTTTTCATTTTAGTGAGTCAGCTCTGGAGAAGTTTTTTTTTCTTCGAGGAATTTATTGAAGAGGAATCATTTTTTATTCAGTTAATCACTAAGTGGTTGATTTTATTTAAGTTTTATACATCTGATATATTTTAATTTTTTCCATTATTTTCTGTAGGTAATGAAGGGTAGTTTATTCTATATTTAAGATGTTATTGAAACATCCTTTTTTTTAGGCTTAATGTTATTAAGGGCATATATGAGGTACAGAGTGAGAGGGCTCATAGACTTAGAAAAGTTATTACCCAGCAGGATAAGTCAGATAGATGGGTGGCCGTTGGGAAAACTAAGAAGGTTGTTCAAAAGTGTCCAGTGGCTATTCCTCTCCCAAATAGATATTCAGTTTTTGGAACTGTAGAAGGGGATAGTCTGTCTGAGGAAAATGGAAGGGGCAGTCAGTTACACTTGGAATGAATCTTAGGTTGGGCAGCATTCGACAAGATTTAATAGAACTATTGTTATAGGGGACTGTCCTGTCAAGGGCATAGACTGGAGATTCTGTGGCAGGTGAGCATAAATTTAGGATGATTTGTTGCTTTCCTGATGCTAGGATTAAGGGCATCGCTAAACGTTTCAAGCATGTTCTTAAAGGATGACATTGAAAAGCCAGAAATTATTGTAGGAATGACATTTTTAGGAAAAGATTAAAACAGTACAAAGGGAATTTAAGAGGTTAGGATTAAAAAGTAGAACCTTGAAAGTATTAATTTCTGGTTTACTCCCAATGCCAAACTCAAACGAGGGAAGGAACAACAGGTTAAAGGAGATAAGTCAATGGCTGAAGAGCTGGAGTATTGTTCTGGGATTCAGATTTTTGGACAATTAGGATGACTTATGGGATAGAAAAGACCTGTTCAAAATGGATGGGTCTAACCTAAGCTGGAAAGGGACCAATATCTTAGCAGGGAGGAAAAAACAAAAGCAAAGTTGCTGGAAAAGCTCAGCAGGTCTGGCAGCATCTGTGGAGGAGAAAACAAGTTAATGTTTTGGGTCCGGTGACCCTTCCTCAGAAGTTGGAAGGATGTTTGAGAGGCGACCTTATAGAAGCTTATAAAATAACGATGTGCATAGATAGAGTTAATGGTAGTTGTCTTTTCCCTAGGATGGGGTATTTCAAGAGTAGGGTGTACATTTTTAAGGTGCGATGAGAGAGATTAAAAAAGACATAAGAGGCAAATTTTTTACACAGAGGATGGTTCGCATGTGGAATGAACTTCCTGAGGAAGTGGTGGATGAGGGTACAATTACAACATTTAAAAGGCATTTGGTTAGATACATGAATAGGAAAGGCTTGGAGGGATATAGGCCAGGAGCAGGCAGGTGGAACTAGTTGAGTTTGGGATTATGTTGGTTGGACTGAAGGGTCTGTTTCCATGCTGTATGACTCTATGACTGTATGAAAAGCTGACCTTTCCAAAATGGTATTTCGTTTCTCCAAAGACCGGTAAATTTAGACTTTGACCCCAGATATCTGAAGCCCCTGAATCATGTTTTAGAAACCTTGTTGATGATAATTGCTTCTAAGAACATAGAATTATAGAAGCAGGAGTAGGCCATTTGGTTGGTGCTTGGTTCAAGAATGGGGTCTCTGGATTCAGATCTGCAATACCATTTTGCCCAGGATACCCTTCCACCCCGTGAAACTTCAGGACTGATTATTACTTGAAATGCTTCTCTTTCTGTTCTGACTCCATTGCCTCTGGTGCCCCCAGTTTCTCATCTACGTGTTTCCTATATCTGGCTGTGTTATCTGAAATCACACCTTTAATCTTGTCCAGAATACAAATGACACTCAGCTTTACATCCCCGCCTCCACCTCTGTTCAGTACTGTTCCCTAAACATCCACCCCGTCCCTGCTAATGGTCTGTGATTAAGCCAGTCTGAATGTGACCATGGTGTCATATTTGATCCTGAGATAAGCTTTGAGCATATATTCATACCATCTCTAAGACCACCCTTAGCATCTCAGAAGCATCTCAGGTTCACCCCTATCTTAGCTCATCGGCTAGTGGGGTAGTGTAAGGGAGGGGGTGGGGGAGGGACTGATGCAGGGTGGGCTCGGACGTGTCCATGGAATAAGATAGACAATCGCAGCATTGAGACGGAATTGGTGAGAGACAGGAAGACCGACAGTGACTGGTTGATATTTTAGCTGGATGGAGGTATTCAGTAAGGTTCCTTGGGGATAATGTTAAAACCACTATTGTTCTTGTTCGGGATGAATGGTTGAGACTTCAGTTCACAGGACACATCTTTAGAATTTACAAATGGCACAAAACTTCGAAACGTTGTGAACAGTGAGGTAAATAGTGATAGGTTTTCAGAGAACAGGTTCGTGAACAGGGCAGACATGTTTTAGATGTAATTTACATGAAGTGCAAAGGCACATTTTGATAGCAAGACGTGAAAAGACAACACAAAACAAAGGGTACAATTTTAAAGTAGATTTGGCAGCAGGTAGAGCTGGAGAATATGTACATTATCATTGAATGTGGCAGGATACGTTGAGAAAAAGTTAATAGGGCATACAGGATCCTGGGATCAATAAACAGGGCCATAGAGTACAAAAGCAAGGAAATCATAATGGACTGGGTTCCTGTCTATTTCAGCACCATGCTTTAAGTAGGGCATGCAGGCTTTAGAAAGGGTGAACCAAAAGTTTGAGAATATTTGAGAGTTGAAGAACTTCACACAGTTAGGTTTGAAGAAGCTGGGTTTGTTCTCCTTGGAGGAGATTGAGAAAAAATTTGATCGAGGAAACTGGACAGAGTTGATGTGGAGAAAGTACTCTGTTGGTGAACCAGAGGAGATAAATTTAAACTGCTTGGCAAAAGAACCAGTGGCGGCATAAGGAGAAACTTCTTTTACACGGCCAGTGGTCAGAATCTGAGAGTGTGCTGGAGAGTTTTTAATCAATTGGAGCTTTTAAAATGAATAAGCATCTGCACAAAAGAGATTTGCCAGGTTACAAGGAAAGCACAAAAATGGTTAGTACTGCTACCTCACAGCTCCTGGGACCCACATTCAATTCCAGCCTTGGGTGACTGTGTGGAGTTTGCACATTCTCCCCGTGTCTGTGTAGGTTTTCCTCTGGGTGCCCTGGTTTCCTCCCATAGTCCAAAGATGTGCAGGTTAGGTGGATTAGCCATGCTAAATTGCCCATAGTGTCCAGGATGAGTAGGCTAGGTGGATTAATCAGGGTAAATGTAGGGTTACAGGGATAGTGTGGGGGTGGGGCTAGGTCTGGATAGGATGCTTTTCGCAGTGTTGGTGAAGAGTCGATGAGCCGAATGACCTCTTTCTGCACTGTAGGGATTCTATCATTGTAACTTCTGAATTCTACGAGTGTAACTAGAATCAATGCACTTTATTCAGTGCATAAAATCAGCCCAGAAATGCTGACCTGAATGACCTCCTCCATTACTGTAACTTCTCTGTATGTGATTCTGTATGTTTCAGATTGTTCTTTTTCCAGCAGTTAATTCTGTTTTTATTTGAATGTATGATTCAATCAGTATTCTTTATAAATCTGATATTGAATCATGGAGAATATGTTGGGCTAGGAGCCTGCATCTTACAGAGATTGGCTGGGCTAACACTGCACAGGCATTAGTACAGGAGCACAGCTAACCTGAAATCAGCGTAGATGGTTGTAGTAATGTTGCTAATGTTATTTTTCAGGCTTTGGATGTCTGGGCCATTGGTGTGACCTTGTATTGTCTGGTCTTTGGCAAGGTATGTATATAGCTCTTATATTGTAACAGGTCTCGGGTTATTTAGAATGCTGACTGGGTTTTTCCTGCAGTCCGAAATTGGGAATGTTTAGTAGAGACACACACACAGCCTTGGTCAGAAAGCCCACTCGATCAGATGTCAATCAGGCAGCTGATTAGCTGTGGCCTGCTTTCTACTGTAGTTATGAAGCTGGATCTGAAAGCCCACCCATCTGGAGCTGTCAGCCAACCAGACACCTTAATCTCCAGTTCCTGGCAATGGTGCGGTAGAGGCTGTGTCTTCTACCAGAATATTGACGCCCCAGACCTCCAACTGGAGGATCAGAGGTGGAAAAGTCTGGGGTTGTTGAGGTAGTGGTGGTGTGAGGTGGGTTGTATCTGTGTTTGAGGGTTGCAGGGAGCGGGGTGGCAGAGAGGTTGGAAGTGAGGACACAGAAGTGGATCTCAATGACCAGTGCCCTGCCCAGGACTCAGTCCTTTTGATCTTGCACAAATGAGTGCAGACTGAGGGACCTATTTTGTTGAGTTAAAACATGCACAATGCATGTACATGTTCTTTCTGTTTGCAAAGAACAGGATCCTATGTATTAATAGTAATACAACGCACAAATGTACCACACTACAAGCCCAACTGACAATCCTAAATCTTGCCCAAGATTGGTTTAATTGGAAGATGCATTGTCTATCTTTCTCTGCAGTGTCCGTTTATGGATGACTACATCCTGGCACTTCATGCCAAGATTAAGAACTGGCCTGTGGAGTTTCCAGAAAAGTGAGTAAAGATGGTAAATTGTTCAAATTATTTGATGGCACAAGAGCTGTTGCCAGCTACTCAAAAGGAGATAGTTAGCCAATCAGTTTATCGATCCTTCCTAATTAGATGAATCTATCCTGTGCCTGCGATCAGGGACATTTTTGGGAATTTTGAGCTCTAATACAACTGGAATATCCATTATCAAACAGCACTCCGTAATATTGTCCCCAGTTCAGTACGCCACAATGCCTGGGCAGGAAGCTAAAGCATTCATTTCCTTTCTTGCAAACAGTCTAAAAACCAACATGTTGCATTATTACATTGTTTCAACTGGTAACACTGTTTAGAGATTTGTGGGTACAAATCGTACTCTAGAGATTAGTCTGACATTTCAGTGCAGCGCAGAAGGAGTGCTGCAGTGTTAGAGGAACTGTCTTTTTGATATCCAGTCTTCCCCTTCAGGTAAATGGAAGGAAATTCCATGATGCAATTCAAAGAAGTGGAACGGATTTCTTGGCCAACATTTACCCTTGAACCTATATCACCAAATAACATGTACCAAAGGGTTTGTTTGTGAGATTGGTTGGCATGTTTGCCTAATTTGATCGCATGTGAAAAATGGGGATGACCTGGAGATACAAGAAGGGCTATAAAAATGCACATTCAAACAACAAATCCCAGTAGTGTCTGTTAACTTGTTCTTGAAGTTTATAGAAGTGATTTTGAAATACAGAGATGTGCTGTCTTGAATTCTCCTCTTGAAATCTATTATCAACCACCAGGTTTATTTGAAAGCACAAGCTTTTGGAGCCTCAGGCCTCCTTCAGGCGTTAGTGAGAGAGGAAGTATCAGACACAGTACTTATAAAGATCAAAGGTTCACACCATTAATGACAATGTACTAAATAAACCTAAGATGCTGTTAAATCTTCAATCAGTTGGAAGGTTTTAATTGATTAAAATGTATATGTAAATCCCCAAATTCCTTTCAAGTCACAGTCCTGAGAGAACTAAAGGTTTTATCAGTGTAAAGAAGATGTGACATTTTAGGTCAGAGAATGCAAGGTAGGTGTGAGCCCTGGTTTAAAATTTGTATGTGTTTTAGTTTAGTCTTGGTACCGAGCGAGCACACACACACACACACACACACACACACACACACTCAGACACTCAGACACTCAGACACACACTCAGACACACACACACACACACACTCAGACACACACACACACACACACTCAGACACACACAGTGAATTTGTGTTTGCAGATACAGTTTGTTTTGTTCAAAAAGCACACAATTTATAGAGAGTCAGTCAGATTGGTGTTTTATAAATCCCTACTTTAGAAATAAAACCAGTCTGACTCCAAATTAAAACACAAACAGATTCTAAACAAGATCTCGCACCTAACATGCATCGTCTGACCTAAAATGTCACTTCTTCTTTACAGTGATAAAACCTTTAGTTCTCTCAGGACTGTGACTTGAAAGGAATTCAGGGATTTACATATATATATTAATCAATTAAAACCTTCTAACTGAATAAAGATTTAACAGCATCTTAGGTTTGATTAATACATCCTCATCAATGGTGTAAACTTTTGATCTTTTACTTATTAATTCTGTGTCTGATACTACCTCTCTCATTAACACCTGAAGAAAGACTGAGGCTCCAAAAGCTTGTGTTTTCAAATTAACCTGTTGGACTGTAACCTGGTGTCATGTGATTTCCGAACTTGTCCACCCCAGTCCAACACCAGCACCTCCACATCATCATTATCATCCACGTATGATGTTTCCAGATGACTGGGTTGAACCTGCCAGATGGTGTTAGATATAGTGACTTGACCAATATGGAAAGCCATAAGCTGCACCACCACATACTTAGTAATAAATACAGAAAGAAGATTCCAGAAACAATTTTTAATTGAAAAAGTTATGGAGTCCAATGTGAGAAAGAGTGAGGTTGTTATTTTAGATCTGAGGAAAACAAATCAGGGAATTTTCTTAATAGGGAAATACTAGAAGCTGTGAAGAAGCTCATGGATTTAGGTGTACATATAAACAAATTGCAAAGAGCTAGGGCACAAGTGAACAAACCAAACCCCTGCAATGTGGAACTTTATCTCAAGAAGATGACTTCAAAAGTGAGGAATTGATGTTTGAGCTGTGGAGAGCATTAGTCAGATCCTATTAAGAGTACTGTACTCAGTTTCAATAAAGAAAAGAAGGATATATTGGAGAGAAATTAAGGAAACAACTTGTATTCTCAAGAATTTAGAAAGTTTAGGGTGATCTCATCAATGTATTTAAAATGATTAAAAGCTTCAACAAGTTCATCAAGGGACTTGGATTTTTGCTCCTGAGTTGGGTTAGGTTCTCTCCCAGCTCCCCATCCCCACCTCAGGAGAAACTCACTTGATTGGTGAATTCTTCGAGGATGTGGGTTCTAGATGGGGTTGGGCCTGCCACCTCTGGAGGCCACAGGGCTGCCAGGTACGAAAGCGGGCTAATGAAAAGGTCTGCCTTACTTCTCTAGGGTTTGTTACTTGAGTAAATGTTGGGCCATCCATCCCTCACCCCTCCATCCACTCCCTATGCTCCACCTGCACCAGCTCATGTCAACACATGCCACCTGTAAACCCCAGTGGCCCCTTACAATCCTCATATGAACATAATGCTGATCTCATGCTGTCTCTTGTGGCTCATATATTCTGTCAATTCTTGCACCACCCTCTGTACTTATTCCTTCAATGTCACTAGCCACCAAGAACAGATCTCAGGAGCCATATTGAGTTGCAATAAAAGAAATGTCCACAATATCTATTCAGCCTTTATTATAGTTAAAATAAACCTTATGCTCATCAAGCCGATTCAAAAATATAAATTCCCTCAAGAACTTAATTCCTTACAAAACAAATAGACTTACATTCATAATGCCACATCAAATCCTCTAATAACCATTATGGACTATGAATCAAGTTATGAATTTAGGATTCCCTACTGAGATAATGTAGGAAGAGGACAAGCACTAATAGTAAAATCATAATAGCCCTTGGGATAAAGCCAGTAAACAGCTTTTATAACTGTTAGAACAGACTTTTTTTTCACTGATACAGGCAGCCCATATTTTAAATTTTTAAAGAGCTGGAGATTTAAATGTATTCACTTGGATTTATTTTCACCTCTCACTGACATGGGCAGGCTACCTTTAAATGTTTTTAAAAGGCCTTGGGATTTACATAGCTTCACTAGAGAATTCCACACATGTTATCTGCCCTTTAAGAGGATTAATATCTACTCTGAAAATTTGTTATTCCCACACTGCGGATTAAGGCCTTTGCTGCAACGAAAATGAGGTCTGTTTGAACTCGGCTCTGAACCTCTTCAAACAAAGACAAATGGAAATCTGCAAAACTCTCTTTTCCAAAATGTTCTACCACCTGGTGAGGTTTTGGTGGTGATGGATGGAGCAATTAAAAATGTAAAGACTGAAAGAAATAAATCATTTCTCATGGGTAAGTGTCTAAATGAATATGACACTGACTTGATAAATGGGGTTAACATGCATGTCATTTAAAGAAGTAGTGGAACAGGTTTGTTCATGTTTCCAGAAATACTGCTTACTCTGCTTGTTGTTAACATGTCTCATAAATTCATCCTTCTCAGACCAGAAATCAGTGAAGAGCTGAAGGATTTGCTTCTCCAGATGTTGGATAAGAATCCTGACACTAGGATTACAGTTCCACAGATAAAGGTATAAATAACCACACAAAAAAAAACTATTATTTCAATTGGAATCACTGATGAATGTCCCTTTGTAAAAGAGTTATGCATTGACAGCATTTTCTTTCTGTACTATTAGTATTTAATGTGTTTATTGGTTCCTTTCAGTCGAAATTCAAGGTTGAAAATTATCAGATCATTTAAATTCAGCAAAACCCACCTATATTTTGATGATTTCAGTTGATAAGAAGTGAACATGATCATATCATAATTAACTACAGACCAGCCTTTCAAAGCTCCTACAGAGCATAATTAATTAATTATTCCCCCAATGTTTCAACCAAAACAGAAATTAGTCGAGTGAGTTTCATCCCATGCAATCTCCAACTTGTTCTGAATTCCATGGTCTACATCCTAATTAAAATGAAGTCACATTCACCTAGCACCTTTCTCTTTATTGACATTTGTTATATCCCTGACCCACTTTGTGTGCTCAAAAATTCCTATCTTTGTTTTAGCTATTCTTGGCTGCAGACAATGCTTTATCTGTGACCTCCTCTCGCTTTACATTCCAGCTTGTGCTTTGTTTTGCTATGATTCTGGCATTCTCTGCCATCCCCATGCTCCTTCAACTCCTCATTAGTAGAAAACCCTTCACCCAGCTTGGTTTTAATCCCTGAAACTCCCCCTGAGCCTAGATATATCTCTCACCATCATTAAAATCCTCCCAAAAGCTCATCTGTCTGACCATGCCTTTGCCCTTCTTTCCAGATTAATGTACATGCTGTTGACTGTGAAGCACTATGAGTCTTTTATTCCCTTCAGGGATTCAAATGGAGGCTGTTACTGTTTACCTTGAATGCACAATCAGATAGCTTGTCTCCCCATAGCTTTATTATGCACTTACTGAACCTTGGGCCAGCACAAGAAACAATTATTCCCACTCCTAACTACTTTTGAGCCACACTAGTGAGCTACCTTCTTAAATACAACTGAAAGCCATTTCAGCAGGAAGTTAATAGTCAAGTATATTAGGTCTGGAGACACATTAGACAGACCAGGCAAGGACAGCAGATTTCCTTCCCTAATGGGTGTTAGTGAACCAGATGCATTTTTGGGACAAAATTATTAATTTCTGGTGAAACTAACCAGGTCTGGCAGCATCCATGGGAAGTTAAGTGGAGTCCAGTGACTCTTCATCAGAACTGAAACTGAACTCAAAATGGTAACTCTGGTTTCTTCCCACAGATACTGCCAGACCTGCTGAGTTTCACCAGCAATTTCTGTTTTTGTTCCAGATCTCCAGCATCTGCAGTTCTTTGTTTTATTTTAATATAGTAGTTTTGGGATATTGACAGTGAGGGAACAGCAATATATTTCCAAGTCAGGTTTGGAGGGGAACTTGTAGGTGGTGGTGTTCCCAGCTGGGACAAATGAAAACCCTTTGCCAACAAGTTAAATCATAGGAACAAGGAGGGTATCACAACAGTGAGGAGTGTGAGACTTCAGGACAGGGTGACAGAAACCTTTCCTAAGAGATCTGGAGGGTCTATCTTGCTCCCAAAAAGAAACAAAAAAGAACCTTTATCGGCCCTGAATGCTCTTCCTGCAATCTTCACAGGCCATTAAAGCTGCTGTGGCTTCCCTAGTCAGACCAGAGTCAAAATTACAGTCTGTTGATATCATCAGACTCCAGTCTGCATGGTTAAAAAGGGATCCCATTGCCTTAGACTGGGTCTTTTCACACTCATTGAGAAGACCAGGTTGCAGTGAAAGCAGATCCCCATACCTTAGGCAAATAGATTAAAATTATCCTTTCAAAAGCAAAATACTGCTGGTGCTGAAAATCTGAAATGATTTCGCCATTCCCTCACTGTCACTGGGTCAAATCCTTCTCTAATAGCACTGTGGGTACCCCTTCACTTCAAGGACTGGAGTTCAAGAAGGCAGCTCACCACCACGTTCTGAAGGGCAGTTAGGAATAGGAAATAAATGGTAGCTCAGCCAGCAATTCCCACATCCCTAAATGAATATAAAAAACAGTGGGCAGCTCCTGTCAGGAGCTAACATCAACGCACCAGCACCAGGTAGGACCTTGGACTTAAAATTGCTCCGGCATTACTTTGCAATGCTTGATGACGTTTTCAACATGTCCGAGTTCAGCACAGCCAGAATCTACTCTAGAAATAATCTCCCCGACCATTGGCAGTGGTATGCTAGCATAGTGGCACTATTATGAGACTGTAATTTATAGCCTAGACTAACAATCACAGAATCCCTACAGTGCAGCCCATCGAGTCTGCACAAATTGTCTAAGGAGCATCCCACCCAGACTCACCCCATACCCATAACCTCAATTTTACAGTGGTAATCCACCTAGTCTACACATCCCTGGACATTACAGGGCAGTTTAGCGTGGCCAATCCACCTAACTTGTCCATTGTTTGTCCGGAGGGAGGAAGCTGGAGCACCTGGTGGAAACCCATACAGACATGGGGAGAACATTTAAAATCCACACAGGTGAGTTAAACCCAGGTCTCTGGCACTGTGAGGCAGCAGTGCTAACCACTGAGCCATCCATCCAGACAGATGAGTCCAAATCCCACACAGTAGTTGGATAAATTTAAATTCAGTTAATTAAATAAATCTCAAGTAAAAAGCTAGCATCAAATAATTCTGGCTCTTTGGAAGATTAAGTGTAAGAAGGTTATCTGTTAATCTGTGGTTTATTGTGCAGATGCATCCATGGGTGACAAAGAATGGGACTGACCCTCTTCCACTGGAGGAGGAGCATTGCAGTGTGGTTGAAGTCACTGAAGAGGAGGTGATGAACTCTGTCAAGTTAATCTCCAGCCTCTCAACTGTGGTAAGAAAACATTCCACTTTTAATACAAAGACGTAGAAACGTTGATGTGCCTAATAGGAGCAGGTTGTCAGTGTTTATTCACTTTATCCTTCCAGTTGTACTCCTTAATAGAGGGTTTCAAATTTCTGTGGCACAGGGCTTTGGTATCTGCTTGCTTGAGGAGGTATACTGAAATGGATTGGGAGGTATACTGAAATGGTTTGGGGAAAACAAATGGGCCTGGATTGTTGTAGTACTGTGTTACTGCCACTAGTGGCTGATTAAACTTGCCCTGGTTGTCATTTGCAGCAGAAAATGAGGCCCATTGCACCAATTAGGCCCTGACTGCTGTCTCTCAACCCTGACCCAAGTATTCGTCCCTTCACCTGGAGAGGCACCAGTGGTTCCAACCTGCCCTCTATCTCTGCATGTCTGTGTTGCATGGGGTGGTGGGGATCAGATCCCTGGCATCTAGCTCAGTGGTTGTACTTAACTCAGGGTCACCATGTAGAAGGTGGTCATGTTCCCCTGGAAATTGTGATAATGGCACTGAGTTTGCCCAACAGAGTGTCACTGTCTCTCCACACTTCCTTCTTGCCAGTGAGGATCCCAGTTACACTCTAAACTCAGCCTCGGCCTATGCTGGTCCTGATCTTCAGCACTCCTCAGCCCTATTAGGTACCCAACTGTGCCACCAGGATTTCCCAACAGCATGGTCAGGATCATACAGCCAGGCAGCGGTGAGCTCCCTCTTGTATGTGAGGAATCCTGCCAGAGGCCCAAATGAACATGCTGGCCAACCCTTGCCTTAGAGTAATAGGCAGGATTCAGAGCAGTGGATAGTAGTGCCACCTTGCTGGAGAGAGAATCCTAACCCTGCAGTGCCCCTACATTACAAAACATGTCCCAGGAGTTTTAGGTTCCAGGGTTAGGATCCTGATTTTAACCCTGTCCCCTTTATAGCCCCGATGGGAGCAGGACAGGACTGGGTGCAATGCCGGTTTTACACTTCTCAAGATTTTACAGTCTGTCCACTTTGAAGTAGAAGCTCAGGGAGGTTATGGAACAGGAGTCCAACATGATCCCTTCCAGTTCCTGCCCATTCAGGTAGCTTCTAACTTGGGCTCAAGTGTCAGTAAAACTATTTCCAATCATGGTTAGCAGCCTTTGGAGAATGAGAACAATTTTTACGTTAAAAGATAGAACCAAGTCACATTTTGGACCTTCTCTGAGTTTGCTCCTTCTAATTTGGATTTGTAAGATTTTACCTATTCCTCATTTGGACAAGTAGCTTATCACTGTACTTCAGACGAAGAGACAGGTGAAATGCATATTTCTAGACCTCTGGTAGGGTCAGTGTCCAGAAGGAAATGTCTGAGGATTTCTTTCTCTTTCTGCTCCGTAGAGGCCTGGTGAGAAGAGCTCGTCACCCATCGTTGTAGTTGCTGCATTTAAGGGTGCACACTCCCTCACTCCACATTATGATATTAGAGTATAAAGCTGCAGACATTCTCTCCCCACCATGATAGATTTAGGGTTAACATCTCCAGGAATCAACATTTCTCACCTTGCCTGATAAACACCTGGCTGGAATGGCCTTAGACTCCCCAGTAACTCACATTTGCCAAATCCACCTTTCACTGGGGCACTAGTGGGGCCTCGAAAGTGCTTGAGTCTCCCTCCCACCTCTATCCATTACCAATGGTTCAATATCAGAAGGCATTGTGGCCACTGGAGAGGTGCTTTGTGTACACAGAACTAGACTCCACTTCCACTGTGTTAGGCTCAAGGCCACTAAGTTCTGTGGAATATCCCCTGGATTCTTGGGCAAGGTCCGGGCCTCTGTCAGTATCAGGAGCTCTGAAAACAGCTGGGTGATATTTGTGATGTTTTCTCCTCAGGTTAGGGAATGTCTGGGCCCCCAGAATCTTAGTGAAATATGAACAACATGCTAGATTTCCAGCCATCTACTGCAAGGCAGATGTTTGAGATGCGTTCCTGGTGGTACAGGTGAACACTGTGGCCCAGAGATCTTTTGAGGTCTTCATCAAACACTGCCTGCTTTGGTGCTGGGAGATCTAGGAGAACTATCAGACTTTGAGATTTGTACTGAAGGGGTTGAAATCTAAAGTCATGCGACAATGCTGGCCTCTTCCAGTTTATGTAACTTTACTGAAGTCCAGAGCAAGGTTATGCGTAACCCGCCACCGGCAACCAGCCATCAAATAGAAATATCTGATTCACTGTTTCATGCTTAACTTTGTTAGAATAGCACCTGAAGTGTCACCATTCTTTTTTAGATTTTGGTGAAGGCCATGTTAAGGAAACGCTCCTTTGGAAACCCATTTGAGTTTCAGAGCAGGAAGGAGGGAAGGTCCATGTCGGCACCAGGAAATCTTCTCATGTGAGTTTTCTAGTTTACAGCCTGTGTACTGGTATAAATGACAGAAGGTCTTGTGGGCAGTGGGTAGTATCCCTGCCTCTGAGCCAAAAGCTCTGGTTTCAATTCCCACTCCAGGACTTGACAGCAAAGGAAAGTGTGTTCATAATGCAGCCAATGAGGTTGAATATCAACTTGTAAATCCTTCCAATATACACCAACTGCAGGTAGTAAGAGCAGGAGAGATATCTAGTCAGCAGTGTGATGGAAAGAGATGGGTGCGTTCACCATCACCATCTTCCAGATATGCATGTAAATGTTCCTGTTACCTCAGAAATAAAAACTTCCTGGTGAAAAGTAGGACACCACTGGTAAAAATGCTTCTTTGAAATTAAATATGATATCTTTTGCTGCTTTGGATTCCTAGGAGTAGATCCTAAATCTAATGAAGGATTAGACCACATAAGGTAAAGACAGTATTTGTGATATTTTTATGAACTTTAAGAACTGGAGAAGGCCATTCGGCCTCTGAAACTATTCCAATATTCAATTGGTTAAAGGATGAATGGTACTCCAACTTCAGCTTACCCACATTTTCTCTATATCTGTGTGGGTAGGTTTTGGATCAGTGTGATGTGAGGGAGGCTGGAGATTGGAGGCCTTGGCGGTGGGAGATTGGAGTTTAGATGACAGAAGCCACAAGCTGACGTCATGATGCCACACTGTGTGTGGTATCACACATGTGATTTAAGATGGAAGGTGGGTAGAGGGTATGGGGAGAGTGCCCATTTACGGAGGGCTCAGCGATAGGTACCTGAAGTTAGGGAGGCAGGCTCTTAGCTCATGAATCCATCTCATTCTCTCCTTGATGTAACTGTTGAGTTACCTGAGACTTGGAACACAATTATCTCCACCTTGGAGATGGTAAGAAGATCAAATAATTGGGTAAGTTGGTGCTGAGATGGTACACGCCCTCTTTTCACCACCTCAGCAATTAAGCGCTGGCCGAGAGGGTCCACTGGGGACTTCCTTGATTTGCCAACTATTAAGTTGTCAGTTAATGGCCCCTAATGGTCTCTTAAGGGTCTCAACCCACCATCTGCCCAATTACATGCCCTCCTGACAGGGAATCCAGGGTGACCTGCTTGTCAGGGATCTGCGTTTGTCCCAATCTGTTTCCAATTGGATACAGAGTCTCTGACCCCCTTTTCCCTGTGACTTCCAGGCCAAAAGACGCTTGTGACACAAAACTAGGTGTGATTGTGAGGAGGGTGCAAGAAGGCTTCAGGATGATTTAGACCAGCTGAATGTGTGGGCAAATACATGGCAAATGTAGCACAATATGGCTAAATGTGAATTGTACTCTTCAGAATGAAAAACAGAAAGGAAGATTATGAGTTAAATGGCGATATATTGGGAAGTGTGGATATACAAAAGGGTCTGGGTGTCCCTGTAGATCTATCAGAAAGTTTTCAGGCAAGTGCAGCAGGCAATTAGGAAAGCAAGTGATATGCTGGCCTTCGTTGCAAGAAGATTTGAACAGGGCAGCTTCAGATAGTGTGAGGTGGAGAAGAAGTTCTAAAGAAGTGTCATTTGATTCGGAATGTTAGCTCTGTTTCTGTCCCCACAAATGTTGCCAGACCTGCTGAGTTTCTCCAGAATTTTCTTTTTTTGTTTGTTGTAGTTATACAGGACTTTGCTGAGACCACACCTGGAGCACTCCATGTTCTTCTAGAATCCTGACTGAGAAAACATATTACTGCTATAAAGGGAGTGCAGTGGAGGTTCACTGGGGATGTCCTATGAGAATAGATTGGTGCCACTGGGCCTGCGTTCACTAAAGTTTAAACAGATGAGAGGGGATCTGATTGAAATGTATACATTTCTAACACGGCTGGACAGACTGGTTGCAGGGAGAATGTTTTACCTGGTTGGGTATTCTACATCAAGGCACAGTCTCAGGATTTGGTGTAGGACTGAGATGAGGCAAAGTTTCTTCACTCAAAGAGTAGTAAACCTGTGGATATCTCTACAACAGAAGGCTGTGGAGGCCAGGTCACTGAATATATCCAAGAGAAAGATAAAGTTTTAGATTTTTTTTCAAGGCATTAAGAGGTGTGGGGAAAAAGCAAGAATTTGGCATTGAGATAGAGGATCAGCCATGATCAACTGAATGGTGGAATGGACTCAAAGGGTCGAATGACCTACTCCTGCTCCAAGTTTCAACGTAACTGTGTTTTGAAAGATCTATCTGCTCAGCATTTCACGCCATGAAGACCAGGTTCCAACCGATGATCTCTAGGATCCAGAAGCCATTGGTCTTAGAGACCGTGCTTCACAAGAAGCCCGGTTGTCAGCTCTTAACCAGTTTATTCGCACTTGATCCAGTGAGCCTTTTCATTGGTAGGGGTGAAGAGCCAATCACCACTGAACATGCCTGCTCTTACAATTAGGCACCAAAATGAAAAATCCTGGCCTCAGAAATATGGCTGAAAGCAATTACATTTTCAGACTTGCATGACAGTGAGGCATGCATCTTCATGATCAATTTCAAATTGTATCTTAGGTCCTTGGATCAGATGTTTCCCTCCCTCCTTACAGACTCACTGAAGCTCGAATGAACAAGTTGTAGGCAGTTTTGGGTTGAGAAACAGATTTAATTTAAACCTCCCACCTACCTCCAGTTCGTATGGTAAAGATCCTTTATACCATACAATGGTTGAACTGTGAGACAGTATTACTTCATGTATTTTCCCTTTTGGGAATAGTGGGGATGATGTAACAGATTCACAGACTGATCAGTCTGTTGAACTGTGTTGTGAGAGCTTCTGGCCCAGAAGTAGGTTACACTACCACTACACCACAAAACTTCCAGGGCAGTACCAAGGGGACATTGCATGGTCAGAGGTTTGGACTCTCAGATAATTGAGATAACTTAGTTGAGGCTTGTCCCGCTTCTTGGGTAGATGTGGAAGACCTTGTCACTATTTTTGAGTTATCAGCGTGAGCTATCTGTGGTATACTATAATGTGTTAACTCATCAACAAAGCTCACTAAAACAGATTAACTGGTCACTATCTTATTACTACAACAAAAACAAATTGCTGGAGAAACAGCAGGTCTGGCAGCATCTGTGGAGAGAAAACAGAATTAATGTTTTGAGTCTAGTGACCCTTCCTCAGAACTGCTGTCCCAAAGGAACACTGGGCTTGAAGACCTTGTCCTTTACAATCAGTGAAAACACATTTCTCAGGTAGGAAGAAGCTCAGATGGCTGGGCTCGTTTTGTACAGGGGCACATTTCCTCCTTTCCCCAGCTCCCTCCAAACATCCTTTCTCCCCTGACCTGTCTGGTGGGGAAATGCACAACAAGGAGAAAAGACCTTTAGCCATTTAAAAATTGGTTCTAAGGAATAATAATACAAGTGGAGAATGGAGATGAAGTACAGAATCGTTACAACCTGACTGAGGAAATAAGCATAACGAAGTGTCTACTCCATTTGCCATGTCACTTCACAAATACTAAAATTTGTCAAGTACTCAGTCTGTGAGGAAGCAGAGTTGAGTATTTCAGAAGGAAATCCATCCTGGTCTACCTTTCTGTTGTCAGCTTCAAACCTCCCTCTCACTCAGTCTGCTCATGTTTCATGTTTACACTATATTTCCATTTGAGTGGATCAAGCTGGTCCAAAAACCCCTTCACAGTTTACATTTCATCTATTTGCTGCCTCTTGCTAGTCTTGCAGTTGAAATGACTGCACAAGTTGTGTTGGGAATATGCCACATTCATAAACACTGAGATCGCTGCTGCCATATCACTCCCTTCTTTGAAAAACAGAAGGACTAAGTTCATTTTGAGGAAATTGGGGAAGATTGACACAAGGCAAGGAAAGAAGAAATCCTGGAATACTGCAACAAAAGAAAGTGTGGCCAAACTCTTCTCTGACCCTTCTATCTATGAGAAAACACCTCTCCAATCACCAAGTGAAGAAGCATCTTTGAAAAAGATTGAGTTTACATTTTAGAAGCTGTACTCTGGTCAAATGAAGAGGACTCTGATATCAGTGTCTTTTTAAACAGCATAACCTTAATAAATCTGTTTCTCCTTTTTGTCCAATAACAATTGTGTGGCTAGATGACATCCAGACCAGCAGTAGGGATTGGAAGTTCTCTCCATCTATTGGCTAACAAGTGAGAGAAAACTTAACAAGGTGTCATAAATAACTAACATGATCATGAGGGTGTGATCTCCCATACTGGCAGATTCATTCATTTTCGATGACAGGACAAGAATTACAATGGTTGTCAAAATATTGTACGTTTGTCAGCTGGGGAGAGTGAGCTGTTGCGTTATTTCCAGTTTCATGTCTACATGTTCATCTGCCCTGCCCTAGATTATCCTGGATTATTTCACATGTCCAATTTTGTTTCAGTTCTCAGATGGCAAGGGGTTGAGTTTAGAAGCAAGATGCTACTTCGGGCATGAGTATTTGAAGAGCATTTGAATTATCAAAAGTGACTTTGAAAAGAGATTTATCTGAACTCATCAACTTATTGGCAACTTTCTGTGAAAATAATAAAGGTGCAGAAAATAGACCAATTATACTTAATCAGGAGATTTATAATAGGTTAGCTTACTGTAGGTAAAAGTGAATACAAAACTTCCTCAAAATATTGTAGTCTCCTCCTTCATGAAGTGAATATAATTTTATCAATACTTTGTTTTTCTTCCTATTTTCCACTGTTGTTCTAAGAAATGTTGGAGTTTCCATTTGAAGTGTGCTAACAGAATCTGACCAGTTTTGATTATCGGCCTGTGAGAGAATGAGGCTGTGGAAATAATCATGGGAAGCCAGGAAATGGCAGTGGATTTGAATAAACAATCAGTCTTCATGTAGAAGGCATTAATAGTATCCTAAAAGTGTGAAATTATCAAGGCACACAAAGAGGTGAAGAAATAAACAGAACAACTATCTCTAGAGAAAAAGTACTAGGGAAGCTAATGGAGCTAAAGGCTAATAAGTC